TAGTGGCACATCTGAAGGGGTTGTTATAATTTAGAAAGATTTATTAAAAGAAGGTTCAGGTGCTGCTTTGTTGCACTAAACGTGCACTTTGGGTAATCCTGACAAGTGCACCCTGTGCATCTCTTTCTGTTGAGACACAAATTAACATTAATCTTCCAGCCCTGGATTTCATGTGTGTAAAATTAAACAGGAATCTCATCTTCAGCAGTTCAGGAGCTCGGGGGGGTTCCCCTGGATTCTGGGGTGCTCAAGATTTGGCTGAGAGGGTGAGGTTTTGCTTTCAAGAACTGACTGCAGCCCTTGAGTTAATGCTGGACTCATTCCTGCACGTCCAAGAGTAGGATGATTTTTATTATAAAAGATGCTTTTTCTTATTTTGAGAGAAGGATTTTGCTTCCTCTACGGACCCATTTCTTCTCTTGCATTGAAATAAGAGGTTGTGACACGAGATGGAGTGTTTTCCTCCCCACTCTTGAGAGCTGCTGTTGTCAGGCAACCACCTCAACAACCACACCAAAAAAAAAGAAGAAGAAACTCACTTTTAAAATTCACAGCAAACTTTTAATATTCCCCCAAACCACTATTTCTGAACAGGCCAAGTCGTTCTGAAAAGCTTTTCACGTAGTCTCAAGTATAAATATTTTGATACAAAAAATAAAACCACGACACCCCCCCACCCCCCAAACCCAGCTCCTTGTGCTCACATCCGAAGGATGTGACCATTCCATGGGGCTCCAGGGCCCCCATTCCTCCCAGGACTGAATTCCAGGCTACAGCTGCAGGAGACAGGCAGGTCTGAGGTGCTTCCAGTCCACGTTGCTGCTTTTGTCTTGCCAGTGCTGGGAATCCAGGGGCAGGAGGAGGGGCTGAAAGGTCTGGAGATGAACTTGGTGGCTTTGAAGGTGCTTAGAGGTGTGGGAACCCTCTGTCCCCTGTCCTCTGGGGAGGGAGGTGGGACCAGATGGGCCACTGGGGACCCTTCCAAGCTGACCCATCCTGGGATTCTGTGACTCCATGGGCTGAGGAGGAGCCAGTGAGGCTCTGGATGATGCAGCAGCGGAGTCACCTCTTCCATGGGCAGCTCCAGCAGCAGTTCCTTGTGTTCCAGGTGCTGCTGATGCTTTGAAGCTCCAGGTGAGGATGTGGAGAGACATCTGGGCTGTTTTCACACAGAGCACACCGGAGATGGTGTCACACAGAGCCAAGGCCACCAGATCACTGCACATTGTCAGGGCTCACCCAGAGCAGGGGCTCCATCCCTGGGCCACTGAGAGACCATCCACTGGCTGGGAAAGCTGAGCTTTTCTCCTTCCACCCTGTACAACAGCCCTGGGTAAACCCAGCCTGTGCCATCCCACCCGCAGCTCACGCTCAGGGCTCGCTGCTGTACTTCTCTTCCTGCCAGACTCATCATGTTCCCAACAACAAGGTGATCAGCTTTGGCATTTTCCACTCAGCAGCCGAGGTGATTTGAAGTCACTTTGACTTTTAAATTAAATTATCTCATGCACAGAAACAGAAGCTGCAGAAGAACACAGCGAGGATTCACAGAGCTCATCATCCAGGACTTATTAACACACATATATATATTAAGCTTTAAATCAAAAACAAATCTTTGCAGATTTTTTTTTCCTTTTAATATATGCACTCTACATGATGCAACACACAGTGCTCTGCCCATTATACAATGCTCTACTGTTATATTTCTTCCCTTTTAAACAAATGCAGGTATTCTAGAACTCAAATACAAGCTGGCCAGAGCTCTGTGGCTGAGCTGCCCTCCCTGACAAGGGGAGGAGTTCTAGGAAGGAGGTAAAAAATCCTGTGCTGGGACTTTAGATGATCTTGTTCTCCAGGGCCTCGATCCTTTTTGCCAGAGCTTCCAGTGGGCAGGAGTTAAGGAGGAAAAATGACAGTGCACGTTGGGAGAGTGATTTTTGACGTGGACAGACAGTGAGTTTTAAACCAAATGAAGACAGATTTAGATTAGATATTAAGAAGAAATTCCTGGCTGGGAGGGTGGGGAGGCCCTGGCCCAGGTTGCCCAGAGAAGCTGTGGCTGCCCCTGGATCCCTGGAAGTGTCCAAGGCCAGGTTGGAGCAACCTGGGCTGGTGGAAGGTGTCCCTGCCCATGGCAGGGGTGGAACTGGATGGGCTTTAAGGTCCCTTCCAACCCAAACCATTCCAGGATTCTGTGATTCCATGATCTTCCACTGTTGGTTTTAGTGGCTCATCATTCCCACTGCCAATGTGTGACGGAATCTCCCTCTTGCTGCACCTTCCAGACACTGGGGTTTGTTGTTCTTTCCTACAGAGCACTTTGGGAGAGTCTGACCTCAACTCACCTCCAGGTTCCTACACTTCACAACCTGTTTAGATCTTAGCATTGGGCTGAAAGGTGTCCAAGGCCAGCTTGGACGGGGCTTGGAGCAACCTGGGCTGGTGGAAGGTGTCCCTGCCCATGGCAGGGGGTGGCACTGGATGATTTTTAAGGTCCCTTCCAACCCAAACCACTCTATGATTCCACGATTCCTTTCTCCAGTCCTCCCTGATTGACAAGGAGTGGGATGGTGCTGCCTTGCTGAGAGCACGGGGAATTTCTCATCCACTCTGGCATTCCCACAGCTATTCAAGCTGCTGACCTTCTGCTGAAGGTAGGAAACGTCTGTGCACCCACCCCTGTCACACCTTCGTAGGGAAGAGTAAAACCTGTGAGGTGTTTGGAGTGGCTGACAGGGAGTTCCTGACCCTGAGCAGCCTGGAGAGAGGAGCCAAGTGCTTTTCTCGGAGCTACAAAGGCTGTCGTAGCAATTTTCTGCTCGTTTCACTAATTGCTTCTCACCATGGGCTCGGGAGCAGCGACACCCTGGGTGAGAAGTGCTGATTTCCTGTGACCTTTTGCAGAACACGAGTCACGGATTTCACTCGGTTTGACTTAAAGAGTAGAAACGAAACCAGCGAGTGACACAGCAAAGCAGGAAATGTGTGAATAAATCAGAACATCGCTGTTAAAATGACACCCTCTCCTTATTCTCAGCGGTGAAAAACCTCCCCAGCCCCGTGTGAGGCTTTACAAATTCCTCCCTCCAGGAGAAGTTTGAAGCTTGCTCACAACTTTTTTGTTTTGTTTTGTTTTCTTGTTTCTCCTTCCACCTTATTCATGATCTTTGTGCAACATGACGGGACCCAGCGTGGAAAAAGGCATTTCCCAACGCCTTGGTTGAGATGGGATCAAAGTCACCTGGCTGGAGGTGTTTGCACTGAGCAGCTACGTGAGAATTTATCTCCTAGAACTGAGTTTCAGCCCAGTTTGGATCTGACTATTGGATGTGTCCATCTGAATTATCCAGATTATACAGTCCAGAGGACAAGCCCTGCAGTTTGCAGTCTCATAGATGACCCACCTTCACAGAATCAGAGAACCATTAAGGTTGGAAAAGCCCTTCAAGCTCACCAAGTCCAACCTTTGACCAATCCCCACCTTGTCAACCAGACCAGAGCGTAAAATGCCACATCCAGCAACCCAAAAGTCTCGTTTCCAGCTGCCTTCCCAACCTCCTTCCCCCAGGAGTAGAATTCCCCCGCTGGTCCCAGCAGAAAGCACAACCCAAGCCAGCAAGGGCTGGCCAAACCCAGCTCCCAAAGGATATATTTCTGCTGCAATGAATTGATGAGATCTTTGACTTTGGTCTGGAATTTCACGATGGATTTACATTCACAGGGATCTTCCTCTGTGGAGAAGATGAGTTAGGTGGTACCAAAAAAAAAAAAAAAAGGATTTAATCAGAATCACTGAGATCAGTGAAATAAAGCAATTCTTAGTTCCTTTGTCAGAAACGGGAAGGAAATCAAATTATCATCCCTTCTAATTATCTGACTGATCACTTCTGGCTCTCACATGACCAGAGAATGTCACGTTTTCTTGTCATATAGGCCAGGGCTCTGAGCAGGAAAATCTCTCCCAGATTTCCACTTTCCTAAAAGCCCACTGAGCTCTTCTGCTGCTGCCTAAAGTTTGCCCCAAAAATCTGAATGGGAGCAAACATGGTACTCCAAACAATCTCCCAAATAACATCAAATGAAAACTGGAGGCCCTGGTTACCATCTGAGTCAAGACTTGGTTGAGCTTTGCTTCAGTTTTCCAGTCCTTGAGTGGATGGAACAACGGGCATTAATCAATTTGTTAACCTGAAATTATTTGTCAGTAATTTCCATCTGTTCTTCAAGAAAAATTAACTGAGATGGGAGCAAAAAAGGGTAAAAAAGGAGTAAAAAATGGTTGGGAAAAGAAAGGAAATGGAAGGAGTAAACAAGAGTAAGACTTTTTAAAGGAAAGGACATCATTTACACAAACCCTCAAGTCCTGAGTAAACTAAAGGTGGATATTACCAGAAGATTTCTGGCCATCTGTTGATAAATACAAGCTGGCACTGGAAATCAAACAAATGTCAATACTTCCTTTCCTTTCTTTCTTTTTTTTTTTTTTTTAAATACTCAAATACTAATATATTTACCCAAATTGATTTTTTAATTTTTGTTTTTTGCAAACAAATAGTTTTTCTGAAATTAGCTTTTTTTTTTTTTAATGCTGAAGCCAAAATGTATCTGCTTGCTCAAAAGATGTTTAAATACAATATGTTGAGGGTTTTTTACACAGCTCCCATGGCTTTGTGCTTGGATTGACTCCTACTTTTTAGAGGAGGTGGCAAAGAAAGTCTCTGTCTTGCAAATCTGATTCTCTGAAGAGCCCTGGAGCCTGCTGGAAGTGATCTATCCTTCAAACAACTTCTCTAATTAAATGTTTTAATTAATCACAAGCAGTGTGATTTTCCACTGGGGCCTCTTAGACGTCCCCAAGAGGAAAGGAAAATCCCACTTTTAGGAATCTGGAGGACAAGGCACTTATCCATAATGACCTGTAAGGGTGCAAGGATCCAAATTTGATTTTCCTGAGGCAAAGCTCTTAATTTCCTGAGTGATTTTTTTCTCTCTAATTTACACCCAGAGAGAAAACCAGACGAATCACCTACTGCAACTCATAGTTCCGTGGGTTTGGCACAAATAACCACGTTAGAAACAGCAAGAAAAGGGGAATAAATTTGGCAAAGTGCATTATTTTATCCAGCTGATGCTGTGGAGCATCTCCCGATGCCATGAGAGCTGTGGGGATCAGGGAGCAAGGAAGAGCAGGTCTGGACACTCTTGGGAAGTAGAGCTGAGCTTGGAAGAGCTCTTTTGGGATCTCCCAAGCCCCTCCAGAGCTCTGGGCAGTTTATCTCGCTGGGGACTGGAAGGAAACATTTCCCTGGTGGGATAAAGGAGCCCGAGCACCTGGACTGGACAGGAGAGCTCCTGGTGAGCTTGGCAGGGCAGCTCTCAGATGTCTGCAAGGTTTTCAGTGTCCAAAACCAAGCCTGGGTGTTTGGGGTTCACCATCATCTGCCTCAAGCCAGCAGCTGCATCACAAAGGGCCAATATTTCATAGGAGGCATGTGATTCCTTAAAAAAAAAAAAAACCACCTAAAATAGCTGTGTTAGTTCTTTTTTTTTAATAATTTCTAGACTTAGGTTATTTACAGGTCAACTTTTCCTTAAATTTGGTCACGGCTGTCTCCCTCTCAGTCCTCTCTCAGCCTTTGCAGCACTGGGCTGCCCAAACACGAGCAACTTGGCATTGATTTTGCCCAAATTTAGGCACCTACGAGTCATTTTGAAGGTACCAGGAGCTTATTTCCACTTGGAATGTGTCACCCCCGTGGTGCCTGTCTGCCTGGAGAAGCAGCCAGTGGTTAGAAAGCTTCAGTTTGGTGATGATCTACATATTAAACCAAATAAATCAAGCCTTGGCTTCTCTTTTAAGAGATCTCTTCTTCTCTTCTGCCACCTTTGGCTGCTCTCAGGAGCTGGCCCATCCTGAATTCGTAATTTCTGAGGAGAAAGGTAGAGAAGGGGAGAAAGGTGGAGGAAAAGGGAAGGAGGGGGAGTTTGGGAGAGGGGGAGATTGCTGAGGTGTAGGTAACCACCCAAAATTGGTGTCCCCTGATCCTTCCACCTGCCAACTCAACGCCCTGAGCACAGAGAGCTTTTTGTAACATCCACCTGAAAGGGCGTTTTTGTCCTTCTGCTCCCAGCCTTCCAACGCTGTGATTAAACCCCCCCCTCACTCCCCAATCCCCTGACTCTCACCAACACAGATCTTCATCTGGAGCTTCTTCCCGATCTTGCTGATGGTCCTGAAGTCAGCAGTGTAGAAATAGTGCTCAGCCACCGGTTCGGAAGCGATTTCCCTCAGCTCATCCTCCACGGCGTTGCCGACTCCCACCGCAAACATCCGAAAGCCTGGGAGCAACGGGGTCCTGTCAGTGGGACGTGGAGCTGGGATGGGACCACCCCTTCTGCACCCCCAGTTCCACACATTCCAGCTGTTAAATGGCAAATTAACCCCTCGACTTTTACTGTTCCAGCTCCTTCCAGCCGGGGTTCAAAAGTTATGTCTGCAGGCAAAGTCTTACTGGGATTTATCAGATGAGTCTGGCTTGGTCACCTGATTGTTGGATTCCAGATTTTGGATATGAGAAAAAGAAAACTGCTAAGTTTAAACAAAAGCTTTGGGCTGGCAGAGACTGGGGAAAAACCCTTCATCTAGAGTCCAGATAAGGATCCATTGGTGTCATGGGTTTGGATTGTCCTGCCCAAGCCCGGAGAAACCATGCCCTGATCTCATCAAACCTGTGCAGAAAACCTTTTGTGTTTTGTCTCTCCCTTTGTGTTCCCTCAATCCTTTCATTCTGTAAACCCAAAACCTTTTTCCCCATGGAAATCTCCCGAGATAAAGTGGGTTTTTCCTGTGATGTAAGACCCCAAGATTTGTTAACCTGGGTTTTTCCCTATTACCTCACCATTGTGAAACCCCCAATTGGAATAAAATGAATATGCAACCCCCCTGTTGAATATGTAGACCCTAAACCCCTTAAATATCAAGTTGTAAGTCCAATAAAGTATTCCAGTTTCTGATTCCAAAGCTGGGATCGTGTATTTATTGACTCACTACACCTGATCCCAGCTCAGACCAACTTTATGGGTTTCCCAAAGCTCTGGAACTCAGTTGTCAACATCTTCATCACCTTGAGCCTGGGCATGGAGGAGGATGTGGTGCCCAGAGGATGAGCTGTGGTGGTGGGGTAAGGGCAGGGGGAGCGGGGAGAAGGGGTTGCAGTTCCTTGTTGGTGCAGGATGTGGTCCCTGTGAGGTGCTGCTGAGGGGATGGGGAGCCTGGGAGCAACAGGAACCTGGCAGTGGGACATGGAGCTGGGATGGGACCACCCCCCTGCCAGGCTGGACATCCTCATCCCCCCTTTGCACCCCCAGTTCCACACTTTCCAGATGTTAACTGGCAAATTGACCCCTTTGCCTCTACTAGTCCAGCTCCTTCCAGCCAGCTCAGCCAGGGTTCAAAAGGATGTTTGCAGGCAAAGTCTTACTAGAATTTACCAGATGGCACCTGATCCCAGCTCAGACCAACTTTATGGGTTTCCCAAAGCTCTGGAAATCAGTTGTCAACATCTCCAGGGGCTTGAGCCTGGGCATGGAGGAGGATGTGGTGCCCAGAGGATGAGCTGTGGTGGTGGGGCAAGGGTAGGGTGGGTGGGGAGAAGGGGCTGCAGTTCCTTGTTGGTGCAGGATGTGGTCACTGTGAGGTGCTGCTGTGGGGATGGGGAGAACAGTGGTGGCCACTGTGACCACAAGAACAAGGTTTTGGAGATAAAAGAAAGGACAGATGGTTGTAACACCCCGACAGGGTCATGCCTCCAAGTGATAAGGAAGAGATAACACAGCAAAAGGAAACAGTAGAAGTTTCCAAACCAGGCTGCAGCCACTATTGACCAGCCCATGAGGGGCAAAGTCCTCTGTGCTAGAGCTGTCTCTCCTCCTAAAATTGCAGTCAGTCTGTCAAAAGCAGCACGCCCTGGGAGTTCAGAACACGTCCAGCTATTGTGCTTTTCTGCCTCAAACTTGTTTCTGCTGAACCAAAGCCCAGCTTGCCTATTTTGGATGATGATACCAATTAACCCCAGGTCCAAAATATTAGTCTCTGCTTAGACTCGTGGAATTACAGAATACCCTGAGCTTGAAGGACCCACAAGGATCATCCAGTTCAACTCCTGGCACTGCACAGACACCCCAACAATCCCTGACAGCAGTTTCCAAACGCTCCTTGAGCTTTTCTTGGCAATCCTTTCCCCTCCTCCCCTTTTTGCCTTGTCTTTCCAGCTCTGGATGAATCAAATATTTGTTTGTTTTTCCAAGTTAAACTCAAACAACAAGTTTGGAGTCCCGTTAGAAACTCCTTGTTATTCATCCCACAGAAATAACTCAGGGACAGAGACTGGAGATTTCCTTGCAGGGTCAAAAGGGGAGGAAGAAACAAGGCATAAAATTTTATCATCACAGGGGAATAAATTCTGTAAATGCAGTTTATAAAGACCTCCTGGTTTACAGGAGCTGAACATCCTCATAACGTGTCAAGTTGCTCTGTAAACATTGGCTTTTCAGAGCTGGTCCCTGACCCTGGTGATGATGTGCTGGCCCTTAGTCCATCTAGTGGCAGAGCCCGAAGTTAAAAGGAAGGAGAGGATTTAGCAATTCATGAGTGAGTTCACACAGGCTGTGTCCATTTAACACAGGGATGGCAGAGACTGGAACCTGCTCAGCAGGTCAGCAAAGGGGCACATCTGCAGATATTAATATTTTATGGGGTTTAGGCAAATTAATGTATCAATATGTGGCCACTGGGCACTTTTACTAAACAAGAGAAGCTGAAGAAAGTTTCTTATGAGCGTGCCAGGGAGTCCATAGTTATTCTTAATCTGTATTTCTGCTTTGGTTATTGTTTTATTTTCCTTTTTCAGGCCTCAGGGCTGAGACAGCCAAGCCACACTTGGTCCTACAGCTCCTGTTATTCTCCAAGGGGCTCTCTGATGGTCATCTTTGCCTCACCACGTGTGCCACTGAGAGCTGGATTTCATTGCCAACCCCAGACAAATCACAGAATCACAGGATGGTTTGGGTTGGAAAGGACCTTAAAGTGCATCTCATTCCACTCCCTGCCGTAGGCAGGGACACCTTCACTAGCCCAGGTTGCTCCAACCTGGCCTTGAACACTTCCAGGGATGGGGCATCCTCAGTTTCCTTGACATTTGTGTTTAGCATGACTGGTGTGCATCCCATCCCACCCCATCCCACCCCATCCCACCCCATCCCATCCCAAAGAGCCAGAGAGGACTAAAACTTGCTACTGGCAAACCAAGATGCACCTGAAGCCCAGCCAGGGTGGCTCCAAGTTCTCTATGAGCATCCAAGCATAGGCAGGAAATGTCTCCCCACACCTGCAGGAACCTGTTTGTGCCCTCAGGAAGAGGCATCTCCAGGGAAGGAATCCTGGGTTGATACACGAGGCAGTACCTGGTCCGAGGGAGAAACGAGCCACCAAGAATTGAGGAGGCCTACCTGAGTCTTTGGCTTTTTTGGCAGCATCTGTGATGTAATCCTGGGACCTGCCATCAGTGAAGACAATGCCCACCTTGGGCACGCCGGGCCTGGCCCCATTGATGCTGGCAAAGGAGCTGTCCACGAGGTACTTCAGAGCCTGGCCTGTCATGGTCCCTTTCTCCATGTAGGACATTTTCTTCACTGCTGCTTTGATGTCCTTCTTGTTCTTGAACTGCCCCAGGGGAAACTCCTGCCTGACAGAGCTGGAGTACTGAACCAGCCCCACTTGGGCCTGTTTGTCCGACACCTCCAGCGAGTCCACGATCTGGTTGATGAACTTCTTCACCAGCTCAAAGTTCTCAGGCCTCACACTCTTGGAGCCATCGATCAGGAAAACGAGATCCAGAGCAGATCCCAGCCCACCACTGCAAGCTGAGGAAACACGTGAGGGGAGGCCAAAAGAAAACAGAAAAAAAAGTCCCCAGTTAATAACGTAGGAAAATTTAATTTTAGTGCCATTTAATGGCTAAGGAAATGGGTTTAATCAATCAAAACTCAGCAACACTTCACAGCAATGTTTTCGAAATTATTTTAAAATTATATATTATAAAAGTATATTATAATATATATATAGTATATTTTATATACTATATATGTTATAAATATAAATATATATAGTATATTTTATATTATAAAAGTATTATTTCATAGTATGATGTAAGTGCCTTCTCTGAACAGAAGCTGCTCTGGCTCAGTCCTATCCCCCCATCCCACTGAGCTCCCAGTGCAGGTGGAAACCATCACCCACCACTGCAGGTCTTGCCATCGTTGTTGAGGGTGAAGCCCTCCTTGCAGGCACATTTGTAGGCTCCTGGGGTGCTCACACAGATCTGCTCACAGTCGTGGTCTCCAGTGGCACACAGGTCAGACACCACTGAAAGAAAAAGTGGGGATTAAAATCAGAGCCCAGGCTAAGACTTTTCCACCCAGACCCAGCTCAGCCCATGCACAACACAGGATATTTGTCCTGAATCAGAGCCCAGGCCAAGCCTTCTCCACTCAGCCCTGCCCGAGCCCATCCACAGCACGGGATTTGTCCCAGAACCAAATCCACTCTGCCACAAGACAAACATCCCGGTCCTTGCTCTTGGACAGAGCAGCTACAGGAGGCAAGGAGACATTTTGACAAGTCTCCTGACTCCAAGGCACAGCCAGGACTAGGAATAGTCTCCACTCTGAGGGCAAAACCCCTCTGTGTGTTGAGCACATCCCAGCCCACTTCCATCCCAGCACACTTCCATCCCAGCACACTTCCATCCCAGCACACTTCCATCCCAGCACACTTCCATCCCAGCCCACTTCCATCCCAGCACACTTCCATCCCAGCACACTTCCATCCCAGCCCACTTCCATCCC